CCACACAAGATAAAAGAGGAGTCTTACAACAAACTCTGTCATTAATCTTCCTTGCACTTGTTTAGTGCTCTTCTCTTGCTCTTGCCATAATGATAGACGTAGATCTTCAATAAAGTAGTGATTGTTTAGCCTTAGTGTGTATTCAGACTGAGTGTATTTTCTGGTACAGCTCAGCAGGAATTTGCTATCACATTCCAAATATTCCTTGTAAAGTACAGCACAAAAAATATTTACACATAAAATATCCCAGAATCACAGCATAGCTGAGGTTAGTGGGGACCTCTGGAGATCATCTAGTCCAACCCCCTGCTCAAAGCAGATTGCTTGGGGCCTTTTAACAGTCATGTTCTGAATTATCTCCAAGGACGGATATGTGAGTCACTCGAGCAGAAAGTACCTACTTTGTACCTGAAATACTGTCATGAGCTACTAAAATAGACTGCAGACTGTGGTTTTGTGTACAAGGTAAAATGTAAACTGGTTTCTGGTGGTTCTACAAGAAAAATCTGAATTTGGAGTGTCACTCAAGGGGAAAACACAACATGGGAAGATCAGGACACACACAGGACACACCACCAGTCGTCAGGTATATTATAAATCAGTAGAGATGAACATAAGCCATATCAGGTTTCAGAGCCTAGATGTGACTCTGACAAGATAAGGCAAGAAACCGCACTAATTATTTTAAAAAATATCTGGGTTTAGAGCTATTACCACCACTTGCATAGCACTATTCATCATCCGCCAGAGCCATTCTTTTAGCAAATGTTCTCTCCAGTCATGAGCACATTATCTGTGGGGGACAGCTTCTATAAATGGGCTTGATGAAAATGTGACTTTTCAAATTGAGGGGTGTTGTTATAGCTAACAGTGCAATCTCTCCCTGTAATCACGCCACCAGTGAAAGCAAAAAGAAACTGATTCATCTTCAAAACATTTCCCTTTTTGCTTGCTTTTCTCACTCTATGATGCTGCATTGCTAGGAAACACAGGCAAACACCTACTTGAGGATTCCCAATAAAAAGCCAGTGCCAGCAGTTACCACCAGGTTGCATAATTCTCTCCTCCACTTAGAACAGAATCTACTTGCAGCCGCTGTGAGCTAAGGGAGCCAAACTCTACTTTTTCATGGCTGCTTGCCTGTAAATGCATAGCCATTGCCACACCTAGAAAAACACATCAGAAGTGCTTATGTTGAATTTTCTCTTTTTTTCTACAGATTCAGGGTGATTCTGCCAGATGGACCGCTCGGCTTTAATCAGAAACTCATACTGATAAACTTCTGGTCCTAAAATGGCACTGACATTTCAAGGGGTTTTGTTGGAGGAGGAATGAGTCATAAAGCATGGACTTGAAGGTTTGGCATATGCTGGCAACATGCAGCTTTTACATCAGCCAGCACCCAGGATTCAGTGGAGAGGAGAAGTAGGTATGCATCCATGGAAGTCTTTGGGTGACTGGCAAATTGTGAGCATTTTTTAATCCTGCCATCTCCGCTGTCACTGTCAGTGACTATCAGTCATGATCACTGACACAGTGCCAAAAGTGCTTTCTGCTGAAAACTTCTAGGTGGGCCCTTACAGGTTCTGTTACAGGGCACCTCTTTTCCTCACCTTCTATTATGAATGGCATCAAGCTTTTAATGTTCAGGATATACTGAGAAGTTTATCCCTTTATCCAGTTTTGTGTCATAAAAAAGGAACAATAGTTCCTTATATTTTAAAGTATAATCACATGTTTTTATCATGGCTTGTTTTTCACTAATATCAAACATGCCAAGTCTCCAAATCAGATGCCATTTTTATCTTTCACAAATGGAGCAAGCACATGAAAATAAGTTGTTCCATGAGGGCTGGAAGCATGGATGCCTGACCACTCCACTTGCTTCCCTGCACTTTGTTTGATCCTTCCCATTCCTGGGACTTTCCCAACCCAGCAACCCTCCTGTACCTTACATACTGGCCCCTTCCTCAAATCTCCTGCAGAGACATCACTACTGCAACACTGCTTGGATGCAAGAGGTAGCAAGAGTGCAACTTGCTGCTCAGGGAATGCTAGCAAATACCGTCCTGGCATCAGGATTGGGAGCATTTTCAAGTGAAATAAAGTAATTTCTCTTTTAAAACTTGATTCCCCTCTAACAACTTACAGATATGTATCAGCACCATTCAGTTAATGTCTCATAATAAGTGCGTCATTTAATCTGGAGAAACACCTATAAATGCAATTATTCATGCTCTCTTGTTCTTCCCCACTTGGAGTTCTCTGCTTCCAGGCCTTTCCTGTTAGCTTTACCTTTGAGTCCTGTCTGGTCTATCCACTGCTTCAAGCATAGCTATGGGGAGATTTCCAGCTACACCCTCAGTCACTTTTGCCTTAGTATCATCTCCTATGCAGAAAGAGAACATCCTCAAACATTTCTATGGGATGCACAGTTGTTTCAGGAGTACAGTTGTAAGCTGTTCTTTTCTCCTAAAGCTATACATTGGTTCACCTAAGTCTTTCCAGACATTTAGCACAGTATTTGCTCTCTCCTCACACACAATCCTACATGACCCTGATGAGAAACAGCTCCTGCAGTTCTGGGATAGCACTCTGGCCTCTTTTTGTTTCATATTCTTTATGCCTTTCAACATACAGGTTTTTTTCCATTACCTGTTTCTTTAATGTTTCCCTCCCTCACATATTTGCCATATGACAAATGCATTCTCTACTTGATCATTACTAGGTCTGTATGGGAGCAATCCAAATTTTGTGGGGCAGGCCTAGTTTTGGATTAGGAGTCAGAGCTACCGAAAGATTTAGACTGGTTCTGATTTAGGAGTTTAGTACAGGTTTCTTCAGGGCTGAGAACTTTCAAAGTACTCCTACGTGGTAGCTGGTTCAGAGAGGGAGTTTTCAGCTAGGCAGATTTATAGCATTCAAATATAAAAAATCTAGCATCACTCTCCTACCACATCCTGATGTCAAATAATTCATTTCTCTGGGACTTTTTTTCTATCTCAGCCTGGTGATCTTCCCAGAAATCATCCTTCCTCAGGTGGGCTATATTTCAAGCAGGTGCCTGGATACAAGCTGGATCACTAGCCATGAGGGGAGGGGACCACTCTGCCACATGTCCAGCTTTTACAGCAATGAATAAGTATTTCCAATATGTCTTGGTAAACAAATGTTTTGTAACACTCTGTATAAAGATCATCAGAAGCTATGCATGCCCAGGACTCCATATAAATCCAACACAGATTATTGTTGAAGAGGTTATAGTTATTGGAAAGGTAAACGTCTCTGATAACAAATTGGGAAGACTCTGAAAAGTGCAGGTCAAACATGAGATGCTGGAGCTGACGTTGCGAGATCATAGAGGGGGAACACTGCAAGATATTGGAGGGCAGACCAATGTCTGAATCCTAAAATTTCAGCATACTGCTAGACACCATTCATCGGGAATGTTGCTTAATTTTTGTGCATAATGACACCCCTTCCTCTAGGTCTTAAAATGCACTGTACACTCAAACTTGCCTTCTTAAGAAAAAAATATTAAAAGATGAAAGGATAGCATAGGTGATAAAAGTTATCATTTTATTCTCGTTATGGCTATGACAATAGCAAGCACCTTAAAGGGTGTAAACAGTGAGGAATGTCAGTAATTTAGCAATTTTGTTTTGTTCATACTACTGAAAAAATAGTTTTTTGTCAATCTTTTCATCGATCAAACTGAAAACTTACACTAGTTAAGTACTTGAAATAGGCATAAATAGATTTTATGCTGCTTTGCTGGACTGTTGCAATTATTTTGTCACAAGAAACAGCTGAATTTGGGACCTGCAAATTGCTGAACACAAAAATATCACAGTTCAGGGAAAGCAAAACCGTAGCAGAGCCATCTTTCTTTCTACTCACGTTGCCTGATCTTGGGGAATTACTTGTGGCACAAGTAAAAGCAGTCATGGGATTGCTCTAAGCAGTTCCCAGGAGACTCCTCTACCAGATGAGAATTACAGTAGTTAACTGTACCAGTTAATGCACCAGTCTGTGATATCTGCAGCTCCTCTGGACAGGAGGTAATTAGTTATGGGGCAATGCCAGTCTCATACTAGGACAGGGGTTTCATCATGCTGGCATAAACTACTCTCTCTTAGACAAACATTAAAGTCACATTGTCCGCTACCAGTATTATCACTTGGGTCTGGCCTAATAGGTTTATTTTATACATCAAAATAGTTGAGCCATTGAAAACTATAAACAAAATTCATATTTCACCTATAGTAGCATAACATATTTTCTTCTGTAGAATAAATGTCAATTAAATACCACTCAGGACTAAGGGCAGTTGGCCTGGGACATCTGATAACTCTTGGAGCACAAATGGGCAGTTTTACAACACGAGGAATCTAACAACATGAATGAAAACTTTGGCCTGAGAAAAGACATACACCTCATCTTTATCCATATAATGACATCTGACCAATTTACCGATAAACTCTATCTGGCAACACAAGAAATGCAGGAACTGTTTGACAGACAAACAGACCTGTCTTTTGTTTACAAATGCCAAGGCTTCTGGATCCCTGGCTTCAGAGATGCTTGACATGCAATGCAGTGCAGCTGTGGCCATCCCAGAGAAAGCAACGAGACGGGTGTTATTTGAGTATGCTCTCAGCAAATACTGCCTTAGAGTCCTGTCCTCTGAATAGTTACAGTCTGACAGCTGCTATTTATTATGAGAAAAATAGCAACTGTAAAGCTGCTTGCTATTTTATTTACCTGAAGCTCAGCAGCAACCATGGTGCTAGGATATTAAAGGACAAATTTTTCATTTAGTACATCTGACCCCAAATCACTAGGGACCAATTGGTCAGATTGCAAGCCATTAATTACCAGCATGTTTTGAATGTCTTCTAAGATTAAGAACTATCCGAAACTATTACAACAGTATATTCCTTGAATTGTGTTAATGGAGGATAATGTTGATTTTACGTACACAGCTTCGCAGCTCCTACCTGTAAGGTGCTGATGTGGACAGGAGTCCCTGTGCCATTCACAGTGTTCTTCTTGGCAGCATTTCCACCCTTCCCTTCCGCTTGCTCTGCCCTGGCAATCTTTGCTTTTTCAGCTTCAATTCTCTTTGGATTGTTTAGCATTACCTGAACCACCGCATACTCCACCAGGGATGCAAACCCAAAGAGAAGGCAAACAATCAGCCAGACATCTAAGGCCTTCACGTAAGACACTTTGGGAAGTTCAGCAGCAAGAGTGGTACATTCAGATGCCAAGCTGAGCACTGAGAAAATACCTATGAAAAGAAAAACAAAATGCTGATTAAAGAAAACTTACCCTTATTGACACTGCCTGCGCTCTTCCTCTGAAACAGACAATACAGAATGATGTTTTGCAACAGTGAATGGGACTTCACAATGTGGTTGGTGCAGCAGGTATACAAAGCGCGCATGCCTTCAATTAATGAACAAGGTAAACTGAATACTTAGGTAGGATATTGCAGTTAATGATGACTTATTAATAATGAGTACCTTCATTTTATAAACAGAAACAAATAAGTGAAGCTAAACTAGTTGCTGTGGCTTTCCTGACCCATCACACATCACACAGCTGGGAAACGGGCTTTCCAAACATTTATCTCACAATGTGCACCTAAGTCTGTGAAGATGGAAGAGAAATATACGATACTTAAACCAAAAGAGTCCAAATCCTTTAAATTAGGCTATTGTTGTCCCAGAAATCCAAACTGTGCTACAGCAGTAGCAATTAGCTGAATGACCTGTCCACAAGTATGATGTGCAGACCTAGGTAAAAGGGAAGTTTTTGCTGAAAAGCAAACCTGTACCAGCACATTAAAAAGTCCGTGTTCCAAATTCATTGTGAAGATGAAAACACTGAGGTGACTACAGGTCTATGATCATTCCCTATTTGAGCTTCCAGGATCTAGAGGAAGCTTTCTAGATAAAGGGCATTTCAGGAAGCCCTTATCATGAAAAAAACCCTCACATCTGCAAAGGCTGTTGAAAGGTCACGTTCATTGTCAAACTGGGTTTTGACAAGCATTTCTCCTCACAAGGCTTCCAAATGTCACCATCAACACAGGGCTCACATCACAAGAGACAAAATACAACCCTGATCTCAAAGAAAGATTTCCCACAGGCTCCTATGAAACTGAAATAGTAGCATGAACAGCTACGTTTGGAAAAAGCTAACTTTAGAAATGGCTGTCACGTGGGGAAAACTTAGTTCAGCTTCCCAGTTCAGAATGTCCCATTTTGATTTTATGAATGCTAATGATAAAAGTCTTTAGATATGAGTGGGCAGCTTTATGAAACTTAATTGATGTCTATAGACAATGCTGGCCAAAAGTTGCTATTCAGTCTCAACTACATTTCACATATGCGTGAAAAATTGTGTAATTCATAGAGAGATCATTTTCTTTGGATCCATTTTAAGTAATCGAGGATGTTAAAATGTTAATAAAACTGGGAGTATCTGTATTGGCCTATGAAAGTATTCAATTCTAGCTGATCACAAATAACACATCATTTTTTTGCTGTAACCATTTGGATTTTAATAAGATTGATATGATACTTATTTGGTATCAATCTCAAATGGACAATTTACTAGCTGCTAAAACACTGAAGAGAAAGTGTAAAGAAATTATTAGAGTAATATTAAAATACAAAATTTTATGATGCTTTATTTAGAAATGTGTAATATCAACGTATCATTTCAAAGCTGGATTATTTTGACCGTTGGGATAATACAGAATGGCCAGATGTGCTATCTTAGATCAGAATGACACATCAAATACTGAACAGACAATCCTCAGTGTCCATTATGGCTTATTTTCCACTTCAGTGTCTGAAGTATCTGAGTACAAACATTCCCATACATATAGAAAGTGAGCATAAAATAGTCCCTCTTACAAAAAAGTTATTCTCACTGACCAACACCAGCTGTCTGGAGCTGAACACTAACTATGGATCATAAGGAATTGCAATAACAAGTACAAACAAGGCCATACTGCATCTTAACATATATAGAACACCTCTGACTATGCCCAGGTTGCTGTTCATTCAGTGTACTGTATCAAGTACCATGTACGTCTATTCTGAAAGGAGGCCTCTACCTTTACCCTGAATAACCAAATTAGCCAATGATACGGACTGGCTCAGCATCTTGGATACTGAAATTTTTTTCCTACTAACTTTAAAAGAGTTTACTGTCTTAATATGTGCGTGTTATTATCATGCCCGGTGCTGAAAACATTTGTACAACAACTCTGTAGAGCTCAAAATACTAGATCTTACAACCTTGGATTTAATTTTACAAAAACTAATTTACAAATTCTACTAGCTGAAAAGATTTTAATGGAACTTTCATCAAGTTGTTCAGTAGAGCAACTGAGGTCATGGTGACCTGACGCTAATTTCCATTAGTCTGCATTCCTCAGATAAAAAGTTCATTCTCAGAGTCTGAGAAACTTCTAGGTTTTCAAGGTAACAATAAAGTGGGCTAGAAGTACAGAAATATTCTAGTAAGCAACGATTTCCTGTCAGATCAATTAGTATGGCCTTGGAGACCCTAGTACCAGAGTTGTAAATGGCACCTCTGGCAGAAGCTGCACTAGGTACCTACCTAAAACAGTCCAAAGCTCAAGGCTCAAACCTGAGTGAGGAGAATGAACAAATAAACTGCAAGACAACTTAAAAAAAAAAAAAAAAAAGGAAACAAAAAACCCCCCAAAATTCCCCTTTTCTTCTCAGGGAGCACCAAAGAGAAGGGACTGAGCTCATTCCTCCACAGTTGCAAAGTAAAGGGAAACCCAGCCTTTCTAGGAAATACTTCTGCATTTTTGCCCCTAGTGTGGCAACCCTGTTGATGGCACAATTTAGTTTATCGGTAAGGTTAGTTAGCTCACAGCCTAAAGCATGATTGTAATGAGATACTATTTTAAAAATACTGCCTAAGGTTACATGTGGGTAATATCTGAAAGTGCCAGTCCAGCAAAGCACTTCAGCAGATGCTGCCAGATAAATAAATCTCCCTTTTTTGAATCCATCAAACTTACTGGCCTCAACATTATCTCCTGGCAATGAATTCCACAGGTTAATTATGTGCTGTATAAAATAGTATTTTCTGGTTTATATTGCTGCTTTAAAAATGTCTGGCTTCATCTCACTAATGTTATTGAAAAAGGTAATATTCTGTCTTGCGTTCCCTATAATTTGGTATCTCTAATACATTCTCTTCTCTCATTAAACTTCATAAACTAAAAGATGTAATCTTGCCAATTCTTCTTCACACTACAGTTTTAACATATATCTTTATGCCTTTCCTTTGAGACCCTAAATTTGTTAAAATTTTACAAAATGAAATTACTAGAACTAATACAGATCTGAGGTTAGGAATCACAGAGGGGGCATGCCTGGCTGCAGACCTAGCTGTCCTGTGTATGTGGGGAATATATCATTGCTCACTACTTCAAGCTTTTAGTTACCCTGTTGTACCTCCGTCTGCTACTCTGGACTAATGCTCCACGCTGTGGGCAGGTGTGGGTGGGCAGAAGTCCAACATCCCTCAGATCTCTACAGCTTCAGGAAACATCTTACTCCCTTTGGGGACCACATGGCAGTGAAGAAAAGAAAGGAGTTTTTTAAATGGATGATGGCATGCTTTCTACCTGTAAAGAACTGGAGAGTCCTCTGTTGGACTCATTAAAAGGTGAAACACTAGCATCTAATTAGACAGAAGCATTCAGTGCTATCATCCTTTATGTCGCTTAGCCATGACTGCCCAGATACCAGATACCAGTCCTTTGTGGAATTCCCTACCACCAGATGATCTAGTTGGGTGAAATAATACAGGTATAAATAAATAGGGCTTGCAACTTACTTAGTTCCTACATGGACACAAGCTTTTTCCTTAAACATACATCCTTTTTCCAGAATATTAATCAGTCTACAAAAACATTTTGCTTACTGGCTTACAAAGTGTCTTGTACACCTAAATCACCTGAAAACTTCTGCGATGCCTTGTCATGGGGAGAAGTAGCCCACTATGCTTAACTCTAGGGATGACTGCATTAAGATATCCGTAAGTAAATCTGAAGAAGCTTCTCATCTGATGAGATCTGTGTCTAGCCGATGAGAGTGTAGTGGCCATTGGTAACACTTTCCAGGGTTTAGATATCATTCACTTGATACACAAATGTTAATCTTGTTAGATTTCAAGGCCAACTGTCTTCAAGGTTGTAGCTAGAAGTGTTAGTTTGTTGCCCTCCCACAAACTGGAGAAACATAAATCTTACCCCAGTGACAATGTTAACAATTTACAATGGTCAGATTTAGAGATTTTTTTTCTTCTCTGAGGATTCAGGAAAAGTCCCATAACCAGGCCAATGTTTAGTATCTTTGAAAATGCATATACATAATAGGAGGCAATAGACACATAATAAATTAAACAAATAAACAATAAATAAGCATGCATGTTTAGTCACAAAGACAACCATGTTACGTATATAAGCACTATGACTCTTATAAATCTAATATATAATTAATAAGCTTATCTGTTGGCTGTTTGAAGTGCAGGATTATAAAATTGGAAATACAGCTCCAGTTTTGATTGTACTGTAGCTCACTATGTGAAACATATTTTCAGTTCTTGTTACTATCTTTTTAGTTTAATGCATACTACATTGTCCCCACACTTTTCTTTCTTAAAGTATTTTATGTTTTGCATTATGGAATGCATCCTTTCTACTTCTCAACGTAAGAGATTATATTTGTTACTTGCTATCAAACTAATACAGATTGTGACTCCTCCCCAAGTAACTATGAATAGTTACAAAGGTCAAAAGAAAACAAGATTATTTGTATTCTGAAATAGACCCCTAGAAAAAAAGATACAATAAATAAAATTAAATTGTGGGTTTGTTATATTTAGCTAGAGCAAGGCACACAAGACAAAAGTAGCATTCTAGTCATAATTCTCCAGATTTTAGAATAGAACAGAGTATTCCAGATGGAAGGGATCTACAATGATCATCTAGTCCAAGCGCCTGACAAATTCAGAGCTGACCAAAAGTTAAAGCGTGTTGTTAAGGGCATTGTCCAAATGCCTCTAAAACACTGACAAGGCTTGGGGCATCGACCACCTACCTCTCTAGGAAGCCTATTGGAGTGTTTGACCACCCTCTTGGTAAAGAAATGCTTCCTAATGTACAATCTAAACCTCCTCTGACGCAGCTTTGAACTGTTCCACAAGTCCTGTCACTGGATATCGGGGAGAAGAGCTCAGCACCTCCCCTCCTCAGGAAGCTGCAGTGGGTAATGAAGACACCTCTCAGCCTCTTCTCTGAACTAGACAAGCCTAATGTCCTTAGCCACTCCTCACAGGACATGACTACTAGCCCTTTCACTTGCTTCATTGCCCTCCTTTGGATGCATTCAAGGACCTTCACATCCTTCTTCAATCTGGGGGTTTTTGCAGCTCTTAGTTTGTCTGTCATACCACTGGAGGAGGAAGAGGCATGGTAGATGACTTGAGATGGGAGAAACAATGCTCAGGCCAGGGGATATGTGGATGTTTTTCCACTTAACAAAACTCAGCACTGCTCCTGCTCCAGCTGGCTCTTAACACAGGGATTTCTGCTACCCATTGCTGCAAGACTCTGTGGATCAGACACAGACTGATAAGGTGATGTGGCAGGTCCTGACTCCAAAGGTCTCCAGTGCTTATCAACACACGTTCATGCACATGAAGCTGCACAAGAGTCACATCCTGTGAGGGTGTGGCGTTCAAGTGTGGGTCAGAGGTCTCTGAGGAAGGCAGGTGGCTGGAGGGATTCTGCAACTGCACCCATGGCATCTTGAAAACAGGTGCACTGAATCTCCTGGGCCAGGGAGAAGATTTGGAAAGTATGGACTTGGGCAGGTGAGAGTGCCAGGGAAAAGGGGAGCACAGGGAGGCCAGAGCATGGGGAAGGAGAGGACATGGCTTGGGGAAGGGAATACAAATAGGAGAAATGTCAGGATGCAAGAAGTTGGCTCTGCTTTTCATTGAGCTCTTGGGGTCAGCAAGTGTGGCCACCTCAGAGCTGGAGTCCCATGTACAATCCAATTAGTCAAGATAATATTGTTTTGATTATTTCCAGTTCCTACTATTTCAAAATAAAGAAGGGCCTGCCTACTGCATAGTGCTGAGCAGCATGAACGCATGAGCCTGAAGTACTCTCATGAACTGACTCTCTAATGAAATAAAGCCAATCAGGGAACATGGATGATATTTCTCTTCCAGACATCATTCTGTTTCTATTATCTTCAGGAAAACTTGTATAAAAGGTAGCTATGTAGAGAGCCTTACTCAACATCCTGGTTTCTTACTGATTTCAAATGTTCAAATTCCTATGAACTGCATATTGCCACAGTGTCTGCAGCATCACCCATACATGGCTAAGACCAGATTTGTCTGGGATGAGAGGAGCAGAGATTGTGCTTATCACACAAACACTGGAACCATTATCAAGCAAAGTCTTAATGTGGAGGTGGGTTTTACAGGACTAGGAATGAGGACGTTTCAGTGAAAATGATGAGTGGATAATGGAAGTGAAGTTGCTTTCAGTGTCCAGTGTCATGTTGTCAAAGCAACTGAGAATGGCTCAATGGCATTAAAGTGGACTGTGACGGTATGTGTAAACGCAGGTTACCCAGTGGGACTCTTGCAGCACTTGCATCAGGATTGATCCAAAATGACAGCCAGGATAGAACAACAATTAGCAGTGTAGGAGCATAAACACCCATCATGTAAAATCCAACTTGTCTTCTTAAAGTGAAGATTACTTCTACACAAGTGTAATAACCTTTAAAGAAATAAATGCGTTAATGTTTAATGTGCTTTGCAGGTCAACCTCTTCCAATCTGTATCTTCCAGAACTTTTTCTACTTAAGAGCAAAAGTTCAATTATTTGATTTTTCTTTATGAAAGAACTCAGTCTGAAAAAAAGATGTTCAAAACACATATCTATATAATCACCAAGTGTGGGCAGGTATGTGGTGCTCTCTGTGCTCTACAAGGCACCCTCCGTATCTTCACAGTGCATCAGTAACAGGCAGCTAAAGTGATTTTTATCTTGACACTAGTTTAAAGATGCAGTCCAGATAAAACCAATGGGGTCTACCAATATTGCTAGCTTAAGCTCATCTGAAAATCCTACTTAGCATTAATTTGTGCAAAAGATAGAATTAATAAACATTAGTGTAGAAAGTTTAGAATGGAAAGAGATGATCTGAATGTGACTCAAAGCAGAGATTCCCCCAGTACTGAAAGCCGGTATAGGTAACTTCTAAAATTGGTACAGACTTTTAAAAAAATATTCTAAAAACACTGTAAATTTTGAAAAGAAGGAATACTGCCTCAAATCTTCTAAAATGAGGATCTAAGCACACAAACATTTCAGAAGATATCTGTTAAGATGAATTCAATAAAAAATAAAGCTCCAGATACTAGAGGTTTTGCTGGAGATAACAGATGGATCAGGAAGTCCTATAATCAAAAACCAACTTCTGTTCATATTTTCGCTCAGCAGAACTGGCATTTTTATGTTAATATTAACACAATAGCATTGTAAAAACAACTTCACAAGCTATTATATCACAAGGAAAAGGCATTCCTATGTTATATTACAACAATTTCAAAATTCAGATCAGTCAATATCTATAAATAAAGTTGGTACAAAGAAGATTTAGAAGATAGAATCTGTCAAAAATATATCTGTTTATCTTCTACATTTTATCAGTTAAATGCTGCAGAATGGTAAATCATCTTAAAAGTGCTGCTTGGTCATACAATAACCAAAACAACAAAACAATATACCATTAAGGAAGAATTTCCTTCTGTGGAAGACACTATAATGCATTTTATAGTTCATTCTTTCCCCTTCAATGATCTGTTGTCTGACAAATTTTCCCTCTATACATTCTGATTAGTTTCCATATACTTTTAGGTTTTATTTTCAAATGATGGATGACCTTCAAAATCATTATTTGTTTGCTTTATGCCAGAAATGCATTCTGTAAGCCTTCATATCATCTTTCATCAGGAAGATAATAGTATCTATTGCCCTCACTATTCAGGTCGTGAAGTGCCTATTTGAATCTCTAATACATACTGATAAACAAAGAATGGGCAATTTGCAAATTTAAATATTCAATTTATTGCTACAAAAAGTCACCCCAAATTTGTTGACCATCATTCAACTTAGGTAGCTGTGATAAAAGGTCAGTTGATATAAATAGGCAGTAAAGATTAACTTATTTGCAACTGGCAAGAATCTCCTACATAAACCATAATTTTGAAAATTTGCTTCTACATGCAATACTGCCTCTTGATTACCTGACAAAATCCTTAACTGAACTACTTTTAACTATGTGTCCAAAATCTGCAACATAAGAACTTCAAGTAAATTAAACAACTAATGATTAATAAAAACACCCTTTAAAAATACCTCAGAGTACTAAAATATTCCATTTGCATTAATGTATTAATTCCAGTCTTGATTATGCAATTAACATGGATGTTCTTAATTTTTAAATAAAAAGGATTTGCAGTAAGCAAATTGTGAAAACTTTTTAAAATTTCATGTTGTCACTCCACCCACTCTGATGGTTCTCTCATGTTTTTTCTTCAATGTTCAAATCACATACACACACACAAAATGTGACCGTTTTACTGAGCGCTTTGCACAGTGTCCTTTCACCTTGTCATCACTAGGTGCTGAAAGTTAAAAGAACACTACTAATTTTCTGTCCTGTTTAATGGTAAAGTGTACAACCCTTAGATTTTTCTTTAAGGTTCCTAAAAGTACCTAAAATATCTAAAGATTTTTCAGATTATTAAATTTAGATTTAGGACAGCACTAAAAATGACCATGGTAACTTCAATAACAAGATAGCAATCTTGACTAAGTAATTCCTTTTTCACCCAATCAGAATGTAAGTTTTTGAATTTTCCCATTGGTATGAACTTTATTTCGGAGTTGCAAGACCATCCCTTTAATTTTTCACTATTATAGCCTATTTTTTTCAGTACATTCATGGTTTAATTAAGAAATTTTTTAAAAATTTTTTTTCTCATATTTTTCTTGATAAGTAAGCTTCTATAATCTCAACTTAGATTTGAATGCAATCACTGCCAGTTGTTGGTTGTGCTTTCACAAATGCAGAAGTGTTCTGAGGACAGCTAATTTTGTATTATTTACAAATGGTAAATCACGTGAGATGCTGAATTACATAGGCTAAGAACACACTCATTTTTCAGTTAAAAAACAAACTCCATTTTAATTTTCATTATCTTTTTTAAGAAATTCCTTAACTTTGAGATCCACTAAGGTTACTTGTGATCTCTTCAGACTTGAGATCTAGCTCAGAAGCAACTGCAAGTAACAGACCCTTGACTTCAGCTGGATAGACAATGAGAAACTTGCAGAGGATCCTCAGAAGCTGAAGCGCCACAGCTGTCCTCACTGAGTTTTAATGAGAGATTTATTCATTAGATGCAAGAGCACCGACTAAAACACATCCTGCTGACTTCTGTTGTTGTACAAAGTCTTGCAGTTGCCACAGTATGTAAGTAGTTTGGATATCATTATGGACAGGAATCAAGGTAGAAAAGATAAATCATGAGAAGGCAGACTACAGAAATCATTGGATAAATTTTTCCACACTGAGGAAATAATTATAGGATTAATTAAATACAGGGTTGAGGATTATAAGCAGCTTTCTATAATGACAGACTTTCCAGAACACCTAAAGAAAGGAAAAACCTGTAGGGCAAAGTATTTGAAGTTATACTCTAATACTATCCACTTCTGGAACAAAATTCAAACTAGAAAACCAAAATTATCCTATTTTGCTACAACTGGAATAATTCTGTGTGAACACCCCTTCAGAAAAGTTAGACATTTACAAGCAGAAACAGGTATTAGGACTATAGAAACAAAATAGTGATAGTAAGATCAAAAGACATGTAAGCAAACCCAAGACAAATGTTTAATTCCATCTTCAGCCTAGATGTTTCTACATTTGAATTAGTTTGCAGTAATCATATATGATAGATACTATTAGATGAACTACTTGTTAGTTAAAAGTAATCTATTTTATCCCATGAAATGTAAGACATGAACTGGAATATTAACCATTAACTATAAACTTGATACCATAACTTAAGAAAGCTTAAGGTTTTTTACAATAGATATCATTTATATTACCTACCTGTGCCTTTATAATACTTGGTACAGTTACCATATTCGATATCTTCCTTTTTAATATCAAACTGAGGCAGAGCAATTTTCTCTAGCTGTACAGGATCTCCAGACTGCCAGATAAACCGTAAGTCATCAGTTGTGTAGCCAACTACAAGAACAAAATAATAATAGTTGTTTAAAGAACCATTTTGAACAGAGTAAAGTGCAAGAAAACCTAGCATATATGTATCGCATTTCTTTCACTTTTTCATTTAATTTCCTGTTCAAATAATTAAATACAAAAATGAAACCATCCACAACTGAATTTTTATGTAGACCTAAATTAGGACTTGGTGGGTGGAACATTACATTATCATCAATATTACACTGATTAAGAGGTGTTTGTTACAGTGCTTACTGTTTAAACAAAGAAAGCAAAGATTTCTCCATAGCTTTGAAGCCTCCATATTCATTCATATTCCATTAAAGCATGAAAAATATACTGAACTTTAACAGCACTCACAAGTCCTAGTAATTTCCAAAGAACTTAATAACTCAATTACTGTGATGAATCTTGTTTTTTTGTTTAAAACAACCTTTCTGCTTAGTTGTTCAGATTAAAGGCCCTGATTCATGAAAGTCTTGCCATTCAGGAAATACTTGACCAGGAATTTAAGTAGCTATATAGTCTTAATGAAATCAACTCAGTGCTGAGTATGGACAGACTTCAGCATACATCTGAGGGCCTAAATCATGATATAAACACCACCAAGTGAGAGGCAGTGAAAATTAGGAGCACAATATTCAAGCATAAAGCAATATTGATTAAATATGCATAATCATAATAATGATTTTACATGCCATTTTTCTGCTACCTTCTGTTTATTAAGGATTAACTTAATCCAAACAGAGACAATGTGTGCTAAATGGGAACAGAGATGGGGAAACATAAACAGATGAAGATGGAATGCAGCATTTTGTAATTCAAAGCCTCTGAAAAATGTTTAAAGAGCCATTCTTTTTCTGGAGGCATTAGGCAGATTTTTTTAAAAATTTTGAAAAATAGCTGTGATTAAAAAAGGTAAACTGTTCACAAGCTAACTTCTCATATATTCACAACAACTTAATAAAAATCATAGTGTCTCAAAGCTTCATGATGGAAGATAACATTAAAAAAAAAGTTTTTATAATGCTTCATTCATAAAATCAGTCTCACCCTCTTACAACATAGAGTGAGACACAAAATTTCCAAGATCCTTTATGATAACAATTATTGGACAGTGAAAATTTTGTCTGTATGGTAGGTGTAGAACTGAGAAGCATAACTCTGGATATGAGAACAGCTTAGTAAAAACTGGTGGCCTTTTTTGTTTTGGAAATCTAGCAACTAGAAGCAAAATATTCATTTGAAAATAAACTAAGTAGAATAAAACTGCCAACAGCTAACAGGGAAAGCAAGCCCACTGTTGGAACCAGAGGGACAGGCAAGAGCTCATGGGTACCATTCTTAATTTTGACAACTCAGTTAAAAGGTAGAAGAAAGTTTAGTGCACCTGTCTTTCCAAAGAAGAAAATTCCTCCTGAATTTGAATATAGCAACTTGGCATGCAGAAAGACAATAAGGTTGTTTATTAAATAAAGAATTAATTGACAATTTTTTTATGAGTAGTTCTTCCTTGAATAACTATACCTTGTGATGCTTGCAAAGCAACCCACACTGAGAAAGCTTGAGCAAACTTCCACTAATTTTACTGTCTAATTCCAGTTTAACCCCAAAGTGATTTGGGTTTATCATGAGTTTACTTCAGCTAATGTACATACATACTAGCAATGGGCAAAACTACTGTGGACATACTACAGTTCTAAAGGTAAATTATGGCAATCAAAAACTAAACTGTAAAGCTCTGACATTATTATTATTACCCGTCCCCACTGGAATGCCCTACTCAGCTCTGATGAAACTGGCACTTCCTTTGCTTTATCTTCCCTTATCTGACCTCACCTTCTGCACCATACCTGGGGGAGTAACAACTGAAGAAAGCTTTTGTATTATAACAGGAACGGGCTGGAGCAAGCCACCTTCCTTCTCTCTGTTTCACACTTGTCCTTACTCAGGAAAACAGAATTACCATGCAAATGGGAGCACCAGGGATTGAAGTATTGGGGAAAAAGCTGTACTTGAGTAGGCACCCTTGTACTTGGGGTGCAGAAAAGAAGATGGGTTTCAGAAACATTTTGGCTGCACCTTCCAGAATGGCATGAAGCCCTTCAGAGATGAGAACTGGCTGCCCATTCATAAGATCAAATCACCTAGAGACCAGGGAAGGGCTGATAAGGAAGAGATGCCTGACTACACCCACAACACATATGAAACCACTTTCTAAAGGTTTCATACTAAATGCTCTTAAGTATTCACATAAAATACTTTTCCTCTGGTACCATATCTAAAGAGTTTCAAACAATACCATGCATCATCAATGTAAGGGCATAAATTGGACCCCAACAACCTACAAAGCAGCACGGGTTATGGAAGCTAAAAATACCTGGTCAAACCATGGATTCTGCTTTCCAGATTATATGTGTTTCTGTTTTACTAAGTTTATTGCAAATGTTTTTATAAAACTCATCAGTTGTCATTATGTTTAATGGCAAAAGCTAAAATCATAGTGCATGGTACCATAGCCATAAGAAACATTTTTGACAGAGAAATGTATGTTGTAGGAACCAGTGAATATTAATTTCAAGACTTATTAAAAATGTTGACATGAACAATACAGAATTGATAATTTTTTGTTTGATTTTTACACATGCCTAGAAGGCAACTGCTTTTATGCACAAACTGATTTACATACAGCTTTCCAATTGCATCTTGCAGCGCTGTGTATCCATAGGAAACAAGGTCAAGTCCAAAGGGCATGACAGAGTAATAGACAGTCTGAAAATACAGAAAACAGTGTGAGCTGCCACGTAAGCAGTAGATGACAAACAGAAAAAAAAAATCACAGATATTTGATTTTCAGCTTCTAAAATAGAAGAAAAATTTAATGAAAGTTACAATAAATAGCAGTTTGAAATTGACCTATTTCTAGTAGTCTGAGTATGAAACTTCAGGGAGAATTTTAAAAATATAGTAGTTCATGAATTACAGACCTACTAATACATGACAAAATACATATAAGTCATAAGAATAACCAAACCAAAGGTCTATACAGAACCTTTAGAGTTAGGTTAGTTCTGTCTTCAGCAATGGTCAATGGCCAACTCCTGAAGAAGAATATGAGACTACAGCAATCAGGAAATGACATTTCACCAGATATCCAGCAGCCTCCCAAGACTTGCACCTCAAGGACTTCCTAAACTAGATGTGATGCTTCAGTATTAAAGGGATCTTGACACATTTTTTTTCCCTTCAAGAAGGTGCTTCACTTCCAGTGGCTCTCTGGAATCCATGTAATCATGCACAGCATTCTGCAGCAAGGATTGTCATGGCTCTCCAGAGCACACGCTCTAATCATCTCCTTTAATCTATCCTGAACCTGTCTCATATTTCTTTTACTGGAAAAGTAGGTGAAAAATCAATGTCTGTCCATTCTCTGTGCCATTCATGATTTAGAGACCCCATGTTATAAACTCAATGATCTTGTTTCTTGCATTGTGAGAAGTTCTGCCTTGTTTGGTTGTTCTTTATAAAAGATGCTCTTACATACCTCTGACTATCCTTCTTGCAGTGAGAAGATCAGAACTGCACCTTGTATTCAAGATGCAAGTATAGCATGAATTTATACAGTGGCATGATGTTCTCTTTAATGCCTAAGACTTCTTAGAATTCAATTCACTTTCTCAACGAGTACTGAGGTGTTAGCTGACATTTTCAGAGAAGTAGCCATGATTACCCAAAGGTCATTTTCCTAGCTGGTAGTAACCAACACAAAACCAATCAGTTTTTATGTAAAATTAAAATATTTTTTTTCCCACATGCATAGTTTTCAGTTATATTTACATTGAATTTAATCTCATACTTTGTCGCCTAATCATTAGATTAATTTGTAATTCTATTCTCAATGTTGTCTCTTAGCTTTACTATCCTGAATATTTTGGCATCATCAAAAGCACCTGCCAATGCACAGTTTTCCAGATGATTTATGTTGAACAGAACAGGACCCAGAAGACATCTCCACTGCTTACTTCCCCTCATGTGAGCACTATCGGTTTATTCATACATTCAGTTTCTTAATTCTTAATTATTTATGCAGGCAAGAGCTTTCTCTTGCACTTATTTTGTCATTCGTGTATTTCGATAACTGGAGATTCATTCATATGTGATAGTATCTCCACAAACTAAAATTACAAGGCATAGCAATTACTTATTTTTAAAAATGAAAATCTTAATAGCATGTCACCAAATCACAGTGCCTTAAAAAATTCACCTTACCTGCATACATATAATTTATGAATATAGTGTGTTATTAAAATCAACACAATAATTTTAGAAGATTATATTAATTTCAAACTTTACTGAATTTGGTTTTGCTATTTGGAAGTTTTCAGAGTAGAATTTTTCCATCAGAAATACTTCAATTAGTATTCACTCAATATTCATTATTTCCTAACCTAACCTACTGATTGAAATAAGCTCATTTATGAATAGCTGCAACCTGGAAAAATATTTGAAAAAAGTTCAAATGTTTCATTTAACATTCGCTGTTACAAATCTAAAGTTTCTTTTATAGCTGAAAGTGATTTTCTATTTTGCAATATTAATTTCTACAGACTTCAAAACCTGCTAAGGAAACAACTGAAATCAGAACCAGAATCTTTAGAGTGAGCCAAAAGAAATGCTTTGATTGCCCATATATTTTCTTTTCTGATTATTATCAGCAAACTTCTTGAGACTGAGTTTTCTCATCCTGATTTGGAATGGGGGGAAAAAAAAAAAAAAAAAATCGAGATTCTCCCATCTTCTTTCTTTTTTCTAATTATTTCTGCTCCAGGAAGAATATGGTCATGTGACCATAACTTCAGAAGTGGTTCCCTCTTGGTAAAGTTGCAGTATATTTGCCTCACCATTTTTTCCTCTATCATCAGGGCAATATGTTTGCAGTTCACACCAAAAGAAAATTCACTCACTCATAGGAAATTGAGCCTAATCTCTACAAATCACTGTGTCTATAAACTCTTCAGATCTATAATTCACTAGGAGATCCTTTTTGATCAATCAATTTGCTATTTTCTGTGGATGATTATTTTTATGACATGGTGTATAACTTTGATAAATCAAGTCAAACCACAAAAAGGTATGTGTCAATTGTAATGAAATTAAACAATATTTTTGGGTCTTCTGAAAAAATCTTATCTAGTAAGGCACAGAACTTCATCAGGATTATGTCCCAGTACTTCTACAAAACATTTATATTGACAAACTTTGTAATTTCTGCTTTTCCCTGTATCATTAGTAAGTAATCATAATTTTCTTTAGTTGATGTAGAAATTCAAGTGGTGTGCAAATTATATTGTTTTGCTGAAGGCTTTAAGTCAAATATCCATTTCATTATGCTTCTGAGAATCTAAGCAATTATCAAAAGGGTTTAAATTTTGTTCCCAATAATACTGGTTTACTTGATGTGTTAGCTTAACATGACATGCAAACATACATACACTTCACATTTCTAGTACCTGCTGTGCTATCAAGTGACATGCTTTAAAACACCTTAATCTGATTTCTTTACACACATTTAATTTATTATAGTATTGTTTACAAACTTTCATATAAATTTTAATATTAATCATAAACTGTATTATGTAACTAATTCTAACACAACATATACATCTCATATCAGGTTATTAAAAAAAAGGAGTAGAAAAATATCAGTTCAATACCTCATGCTGACTAGGACATCTCCATCCCGAAATATAAAAAGAAGAATATTTTCTTGTGTGACGTCATGGAAGTTAGCATTTTTTTCATTTGCAAAGAATAAGTCTGGCTTCCAAAGACATTTAAACATAGTTGGGTCCACTGTCAGTGTATCTGAACCTCTCCAGTCATTGGGCAGTTTGAGTCTGGGGTCATTCCACTTCTGTCTTAGAAATATGTTGACTCTGTAATCCTGATGGGAAGAATACATACATATTAGACTAGAAAAAATCTATCCAAAAACCCATGGAGAAGGAAAGCCATTCAATCATACTCTGGAGAAACAATTTATGCCCTGATTTTTCAATCACAAAGATAGTAATCACTATTCAAATGACATTAATAAGTGTTGTTTAACAGACTTTATCACAAATAGGTAGATTATGTCTTATGTTTTGAATATAGTTACCATCTTTGAAAAAAGGACCGAATTGCGCCCCCCAATATAATTTTTTCATCCCCTCAATAGTATCCCCATGTTACCTAGGGATAGAGAAAAGCATGCAGCAGGGCAGAGGGAGGCCATAGCTTGACTACACTAAATTGCTGCAGGCAGCAGGCACGATATCACTTCTACCAGGATATCCAGCTTATTCTCCATTTGGTTAAGTGGCACACTGATGGCAAAATATCACACTATAAATGCAGAAAACAGACCAGGTAGAAAATAGATTTTACACTACACACCCTGAACACAGCCTCCGACCTTGTAACAGTGATTTGGGACTATTTTGGTAACTGAGGAAAACTGATACCAGCTTGTAACACAAGTATTGTGGTAGCATGTATGAAAGCAGAAACAGAACAGGTCTCAAAGGGACAAAATCAAGGCTTTACAAAGAGGAAACTTCCTTCTGGATTCAGCAGGACTCCTGCTCAAAGATGTACAGTAGTAGAGCCATGCTCAATGTGAACCTCATTTTGCCTTCAGGAACCGGAGCATGTGTCTCAGGGCAAAATGATACCCACAGGCGTTCTGTCCTTAGTGAAAGCTGTGTGCATCCAAAGGAAAAATCTGACCCAGTATGTCAGTTATAATTTTTCAGTTCTACCTCTAAGTCTCTTTGCTTTTTACAATTACATTTAAGCCCGTGCCTCTTTCTTATGTATATGTAAACTAGGCAGATCACATACAGAAAAAGAATAAAGGTATTGCTGAAATAAAATTTTACCACAAATAAACCAAAATTCCATATGTAAAATAACTTCTATCTCCAGTCTTCCTAGTTGTCTTCTATGGTGTGTTGCTTTTCCGTGAATGTCTATTAGGTACAAAGCATCTTGATTTAAGGGCTGTGTCTTTCGAAGCAGTGAAAACATTGCCACTTCTTTAAAATTATAACAAAATGCTAGAAATCCATGGGTGAAGGTTCTCAACATATTTTTGGTTTGTCAAGGTATTCTGCATAACAATAATATTATAATTTTATAAAGTTTTTTATCTTACATGTTAATGCACTCTTACACATTTTTCTGTTGACACAATTTGAGTTCTCTTGTCGTACTTACTACAGTGTACACATTTACAGTCCAAAGCAAGTGCCGTGTTGAGACAGTCATGCTAACTAAAACAGGAAGGAGTTCACCTGGCTAAGAACTCATGTAGAATAATTTACCCTGTTGAATTACCCTGTTAATTAGAATAAGGTACCCACTTTCCTATGTCCAGTCCACCTGTCAGATCATTACAGCATTGTAAGGAAAAACAAAGCATCAAAACTAAGTAGAAAGAACTGAGGCAGTATTTATTAATATGCAATAGTTCTGAGACATAATTTACTTGTTGGCAGTCTGGTTTTGAAGAAATATATGCAGTCTGACTTATTTATACAAAGACCTATATTATCTTGTCAAAGTATAAAATAACAGCTAATATGAAGTGATTATGTAATGGAAGACTCTCATAGAGAAGCTTTAGAGCAGGAAGAAATTCAGGTCATTATCTCACTGTGCTGGCTTTGTGTACCACAACACCCAGAAAGCATCTTTTCAATTATATGTATATAATTGAATTTTTACTTTACTTGCTTCTTGCTGAAGTTCCCATTCCATATGCACTTCTTGTCTCAGTAAAAACAATTGATTTAAACCATATGAGACAAATACTATATATAATTCATGCCCACAAGCATTACACTACTCATTACACCAAAATTAATTTCCCCATAAACTAGTGCATTACCCAAATTTTAACAAAATACGATGCCTTCTCCAAGCCACAGGCAAATGATAAGCAGTGTCCAACACTTGCCTTCAGCTTACCCAGTCAGAAGAAGATGTTTATATCACTGAAAAGCAGAATGCACTGGCAAAATAAGAATTGGAAGTGGATGTTATTTTACTTATTTCCTTGCTCTATTACAAATTAATTTAAATATACCAAACAGTGGTATGTTGTGACATTTAAATGTGTTCCTATTTAAGTCAATGGAAGAAAAAGCTCATTAATCTAAAATAGGTAGGTTCAGACCTACCCAAATGTCTAGAAACTTTTGTCAGGGGTACTTGAAGAGGAAGGCCACCACATACTTGAGGCAATATAGAAAATGTGGAAGGAAGCAAAGAGATGTCAGGATACAAAAGAGTGGCTAGACAGATAATGATGTTCAGAAGGGCTCCTCAGAAGAATATGAACTATTAGAGCATCTGGCAGCAGTATAGACTATGATCTGGTATAAATCTATTTTGAAAGAAGTCTACAACCAGTCCTCTCAAGTTTGGGCGATGAATTTTAAGATTCGGTATGTGCACTTCAATTAGGTTCAATAGGGGCTGGAGAATTGGTCTGCATGAAGTAAATGGTCTTCCTCCTATACATTTTACAAATGTTCTTTGAATATTGTAGAAGAGTCAAACAGCAGTTTAAAAGAAACCAGCGGCAGGGAGTGGGTTCATCATCTTTGAAGCTAGGAGGACCTTGCAGGTAAAAAGAACCACAGAAGTATACTACAGGGCTTTGTTTTCCCATGAAACTCCAATAGAAGGCAAGTTTTTTTCAGAGAGTTTGAAAGGGGAGGCATTCTAGGACATATTTCAAATGCAACCTACTAAACAGTAGGCACGTGGCCAGAAAAACTCAGGCCAGAAACCAGGCATAGCCAATACATCTCACTCTGAAAACTGGAGCACATAGAAGATCATAAAAGGCTTTTTCTGCAGGAACTGCACTCATGCAAAGAAAAGAAGCATAATAGCACTGTCTTTTAATAAAGTAGAAAATGGAATTTTTAAGATTAAGAAAAATGAACTTTCCTTTATATATATATTAAAAAGACCTTTTTTTCAAGGTTTTAAAATAAAGTAGAAGGAAGTGCTGTTTTACCATAGGAGTCAGTGAAGAAAGGTTACCTGGCAACTACAAATCTTGAATATAGATTCTGTAGACAGCGAGTCAGATCAACAGCACAGCTAAAATATTATAGCACTATGGGTATTTATACTGGAAAGAATCAATCCCTAGTGATCCTTAACTGGTCATCCAGACTGTAACAGTTTCTAAATGTGACATAATCGCTATGTTATCCCACAAATCTGCAGTCTAAAAAAATATCTGCAAAATCAGAAGCAGAGTTCACATAGGGATCCTAGACAAGTAGTCTAATGAGCTAGAAGGAAACAAGTTACAGGATTCAAGATAAAGGGAACTTCCTGGAAGGTAGCAGCTCTCGATAAGCTCTTCTCTATGTCACCTGTTCAAATTATTATTCTCTCAGTAGTTAACTCATTTTTTGTTTAGTTTTTCCAGGTAATTTTTTTGATCAGTATGTGAAAATGTCACAATTCTCTCAAGCATTCAACAATACAAGATGAACACTATCCTCTCTAGACACAGAGCGAACATTTGCCCTTCAGTTTCTTCACAAGGGCTTGATTAAAGCAATAAAGGCTTCTGGGCATAGGATCCACACTATGGGTCCTATTTTGCTTCAAACCAATATTACTTCAAATCTGTTGATGCTTTTCTATACCAAAATTCCCTTCTCTCTTAAACCATGTGAAGTCTACTTCAATGGGTAGACTTCACTTGGGTTTTTTTGTTGAGGATGAGTCAACTGCATAGCTAAGAATGCGATCATCACAGGACCAGAAGGACAGAAAGCGAAAAATAATTGAAAATAATTTTATGGGATTCCTGAAATATGTGAGGAACCATCAGAACCAGCCACCATGATATAAACGCAAGGGACACTGTGGGAGCCTGTTAGACATTCCAGACATTAAGCCCAGAGTTGGCTATTTCAGAGGGTGCACCTTGTTGAAGATATTTTCTTCTGCATCTCTTTTAACATCCTGCTGAACAAAAGGAGATCAGCATGCCGAATGCCCTTTTCTCACCGGCACTCTACACGTTTGTTGGGGTTTCTATCACCACCTCAGTTACAATCACCTGGCACTCATGGTTATTTTTCCCCACCTTTCCATCACTCATGGCTAAAACAGGATGCTTTATATCCACATAAATTTTGCAAAAAAACCTACAAATTCAGCTATTACAGTCCGAAGTGGCTACAGAGCCAAGAATCATCATGACCCTGCATCAACTGAAACACTTAGAAATATATTATTTCAAAAATTCTGGTATCAGTAATGATATCAATCCAACCAGTTTAGTAGCTTCTGGTATCTTTAGACAACCAAGAAATCAATATTCCTCATAATTCACACCAATGCCTGAGACAGCAGAGATGCAGACAGCCACTCTCTTCTCCAACACTGAAGAACCTTTTTCAGCAGTTCTGTTACTGCCCGAAAATGTCTCTCCCTTCTGAATGCAAGAGGGCCCTCCAATCCTTCACAAACTTGGTGCCTCAGCTCCAGGAAACTCTCCTTGTGATTCTGGGTGTACAAGCTTTTTCACAGTCTAAGGGACTTGCTTCTACTGTTTGGTTCACTACCCAGACCATCTGAAGGCAAGTATCAGCCTGTCCCCAAGAAAGCAGTGGTTTCTGGATGTCCTTAGGACCCAGTGTCCACTACAGCAGGAAGAGTTTCCCGAGTGATATATGGAAGAACACATTGACCATTTCTTTTGTCAGTGCTTCCTGTGATACATTGAGGCAAACATGAAGTAATCCAAACTTCACATAAACATGCTTAGCTATCATGGTGATTGGCTGGATGTAGAAATCTAAATAAAAGCATAAATTAAAGTAAGAATGGTGTCTGAAATACACCATTCACACTCTGAAATACAGAGAATGACTTATCTTACAGAACATCCTAGTAACTTTGTGAGTGACCATATCAGGAATTCAGAGACGGGCATACATATGTTGTAGAGAGCATACTTAATTTGGGAGAAGGAAGCACACCCCTTACATTCATGTTTTGTTACTATTTGGATCTGGGTGAACTGTAAAAAAACCTCTGTAAAAGTCACATTTTAAAGCATGCAATAAATATCAGAAACTTGAAAGGGCCATCTGGTCTAATATACCTGCCATCTTGGACACTTATCTCACTCCCTCTTTCCTGCTCCTCCTCTCCGACCCTCTTTAAACTTCAGTCCCCTTTTTGTTTTCAGAAATAAATCTCAGGGTATCTTCAGCATATTTACATTCTTTGTTTTAATATCACTTCCCACTAATGCCATTAGTCGACTTACTATCATTTGCAATCAAATCTAAATCTTTATTCACTCCTAGTTAAAGAAACAGAAATTTCTGGCCAAGCTGTTCAAAAGCAATTTCAGTCATCACATATGTTTAAATTTGAGTGGCTCTGCTATCCTACTGAAATGTAATTAGGGTATTGTGTAAGCTGGTTCTGAATTTTAAGTGGGTACTTCTACTGACAACAAAATGTGGTTTATTATTTATTAGTCATATTATCGTTTATTCTTCATTATGGGCAATAATGCTTCCTTGGTCACAACATTAAAAAAAGCAGCCTCATTTTGGGAACTGCCTCAATGTTTTCCATGTAGCAGATCACCAATTATTTCTAAATGAGCTCAGAACTCCCTCTCTAAGTGCATATCCTTACTGTTGCTTCCCCTATACTGGCAAGACTCGGTGTACTCCCCTCCTTTTTACAGAAAAGAAAAACCAGATTGGTCAGAACATCTTCAGCAATTAAATTAAACTTTTGACAATATTTTTGACTGTATTTATTGGAAATACCATTGCAAAAAAGATCTTCAAGTCCCCGAGCAGTGGAAAAGGCTTTGCTGAAATTACTTCTTATTTTGAAATAGATTTTATTTGCTAAGAAAACAAAAAAAAATATCAAAATTGTAATGAGGATTATTTGGTGCTGTTATTCACATGTTGAAATTTTCTGATTCAACTGGAAACATACTTTTAAAAACTTCACTCAGTTTGTCTCTCTCACATAGTAAATAAACATGAGTGAGAATATGATCATTGATGGTCTACTCCTTTATTTCTCCATGATTTACTGCTATCCTCAGATCTACATAAAATAGAGAACCCATATGCCTCAGCCTTATGCACGTATGTTCTTTTTCTCACATATCCAGCCCTAGTATTTTCTTTAGTAATACACCAAGAAACCTACACATTAACTCACAGGAAGATTACTTAATTCATACTACCAAATGTGTTCTTCCCCTGAACTTAATAACTTATGGAAATAATTGTATTTCTTACATCTTAGAAACCATGGATTTCCTCTCATGTACATCAGATTCTGAAAGCTATAACTATCCATGGACAAATATAGAGTGAAATAGGTTAATAGGTTTATGGCCTAAAGCACAGTCAGTCTATCACTAACCCCATTAGCTCAATTCTCAGTGTCTACAATTATAACAATAATGTCTACTTTATAGTTTGTAATCCTCAGCCTGAAATTTCATAAAAAAATCTCCACATGTGCTATATATTAACTTCATTTTAGTCTTACCATAGTTGTCTCTTGAATTGACCCAAAGCTGTTAATGAAGATGTTGACTGCAACATCAACTGGAATTCCTTTAAAAAAAAAAAAAAAAGATTTCTAGTGAACTGCACAATCCAGTAAAGGTACGTTAGCCTTCATTTAAAGATCCTTATATAGGTATCAAAATGTGAAATTTTTTTATAGGGTCATACGACTATCTTTTCCAGTTACTATACACAAAGTTTTCAAAAGCTGTGGTTTAATCTATTTCCATTGAAAGCCAATAGAAATCACAAAAAATATTTTCAACCTAGTGATAAGAAAACAGAAAAAAAAAAAATCCTTAGTCCAGAGTGCTAAATTTAAAACATTTCATAAATCATAAATCTGAATAATTTCCAAATTCCATGATTTTCTGTTATCACAGAATGCACAATCCAGTATGACTTTTGCACACAGTGTAATGGATGGAGGCAATTCACACTTCCAGCGGTGGACACTTTTAACTTTTAATTTAAAGGTCATAATGATGTTCTACCATCCCAAATTACCTGACTATGATTTATGAAGAGATATTTACTTTAATGTAGGAGGATACTTTGTGCAAGTCAAGTACATAACTGTAAAGTATGAATACAGGCAGATAAAATTCGTTACATGCAGCTTTCAGTTATCTAGCCTTGGTGTAGGAGAGGTGGAAAGCTGCTCCATTTCACAGTGGTTACCAATTTGCCAAGAAAAATTTCTAGAAGCCAACAGCTGTGAAGATATTAAGATGGCCTGGAATTTTCGCTCTTTTCCACAGCCAGGATTCCTGTAGTTGAAGAGGGATGGTGTGACAGCTGCTACATCTGCCCTCTGTCACCCTGTGGGAACTGATTGGCAGTCATTTAATCTGGTGTTTACAGAGAGTTATCACGAAGCATGGAGAAGTGGCCTGACAGTTGTGAGAACTAATTATGGTCCACGAGTTTTATTTAGCGCCTCTGTGTTGAGAGTGTCAGTATGTACACTAGATGCATGTATCTGATCTCATTTACAGTTACAAGTACTTAATTCAGTGGGTTTCTTCCTGTTTTCAGCAACAAAAGAGATGTTAGGAATATATGAAGACTATTTTGACAGAGTAAGCAAATGCCTCATCTAATAGTTTGCTTGTCTGCAATAAATATTTCAGTGTACGTTTTAGACAACAGTTCAAACTCATTCTCTTGGTTCACCAGAAAATCACTAAGATAAAATTCCACTTTTTTAGTTAAACCAGTTTGTGGGTTTTTTTTTTAAATCAGACCAATTAAGTGTGATGTTTTTGGTTATACAATAAGCATAATACTCTATTTAATGTCTGATGAATGTGATAGAGCACCCACCACACTACTAGTAGCCAGATCTCTTCCAGATTTGAATAGGAAATGCCATCCAAGAAAATCACTCATGTGTGAGGAACATTTTAACACAGGCAAACCACTTGTCAGAATATGTTCTTTTTCTTCCACCTCCCCGTGAGCTAACATTACATATCCTCCCTTTTCCTTCCATCTTGATTTTTACCAGACTGCTAGCAGTGTTATCAAAAATCTAAAGAAATCTGCAACAAGCTTAGTGATTACAAGCTGATCATCCTGAAGAACAGGTACAGCAGAGGCTGGATGTTTATTCTTTGTGACAAAGCTCAGCATATGAATGCTGAAAACATATAACTGTGATTCTACAGAGAATAAGGAAGAAGCAGGACACTTGCTGAGAACTGATCTTAGTACATTTATAAAACTTAGTTAAACAGAACATCTGAAAATGGACTCTTCAAAAGCACAATAAATATAATTTCCAAATTTCTCATACTATTGATATGCATATTAAAATATCTCTCAATGTAGATATAATTAAATGTAAGTTTTAAAATGAAAGAACAGATTTATGTAAACTGCACCAGTGTCTGTAATGTTAAAGTCTATGTCTTTTTCCAGCAGGGAAATAATCTTGGTAAGTGTAATTTACAGCTGTATAAGTTACTAGAGGCTTTCTGCATATGTAAGGCAATCATATTTGCCTACATGGAAGATTCCTAGAGCATCTGACTACCAGGGAGACATTTTGAAGTCAGAGAAGGTGTTTAAATTCATTACCTATTTGATATCCTGGTGTGTAAACTGTATTACTAACATAACTTTAAAGGATTTAATAACTGCATAGTTTCCAAATAGTGATATTGTTGACCCCAAATTTTATAAAGTCATCTTAAAGGATGTCTTAGAGAATTTTGATTCTTTAAAATACTGTAAAGCGGAGATACTGCTAAAGTCTAACTAAATTTTAGGAATAAAAATACATTTTTAAAACTTATTCTATAAAATCTAATTCTACCTTTAAAAATATTTTATAAAATAATACTAATAATAAAGTATCACATATTGTTATGATAATCCTAACAGATTTCTTTTCAGCCCAAAAAGGTAAATATCTTCCGCAGTTTCACACTATCTAGGGAAATTCCCATTTAAAAACCACAAAAATATATATAAGTTGTGAATATTATCTCTATATAAATTTCTGTGTGTGAAAAGAACAAAAGTTAACTTCCAAAGATTAAAAGAAAGGCTGAAATATGTGACAAACCTTTGAAATTAGGCCTTATCCTGGGATCATAACTGAGCAATAACCTATTCAAGATATTGCTGGTAGAATTAACAGGTACTCTTGCAAGGTCTTCAGCTGATTGCTGGCTGTAAAAAAAAGGTGCATTAGTTATCATTAAGGCAGAAAAAACTGTGTGCTTAAACTTAAGCGATTTTAAAGTAATTCTATAACTGACATTTCACAAGCAAAATACGTTCAGTACACACTCTTCCTTTCCTTGTGATGTTTCAGTATTTTTCAAGAAACCATAACAAATGCAAAAGCTCTCCTATATACTCTTAACTGCGTAAATAAACTGCAATTCGCTAATTGTTCCTTTCCGTCCTAACATAAATATCCAGAGGGAAATGATTTCTTCATCAGTAGAAAGCAGCCACCCGAACTATTTTTAGTGACTGTCAGATTAGGAACATAAGTAAACTGACAACCACTTTGCAGGTGCCAAACCATGCAGAGGCTTTTGGCAGTCTCCTGCTCTTGCATGCCAGCACCAGCTATTCCACTGAGAGCTGGAGCTGTTGCATAATCTCATTGTCAAGTGCTAATGAAAGCTTTGTCACAGAAAATGAGGCCTTGGACTCTCCTCTGGTTTTGCAGGAGGAGCTTAAACATCTCCATTTACCTTGCTGTTATTATGCTGAGTGTTAAATTAAAATCATCGCTAAAAAACAACCTGTGAAAGGTAAATGTAGCTACACGAGTAACATGAAATTGAGTGTAATAAAAAGCATTAAGTGCGCATCAGTCCTCACCCCATGTACATTAAGCACCTAGAAGGCTGATAATGTCATGTAAATGAATTTGTATATTGTCTGTAGGACCTTCTCAGTGATGTTTTGAATCCTGTCTTGTAATCACTTTTCCATCCATTTTATGATGACTGCTGACTTTCTGTCATTATAATTTAGTAACCAAGATGCCATGTATTATAAAAACAAGTCAAACACCCTACATAGGCACAAGTCATATACATCAATACTATTACCTCTAAATGTTTTCCATAATCAGTATCAGCTGCTGTTGCCTCCTTTACCCAGTTTAATTTCTATTATTCATTATTCTTTCCCATATCAATGTCAGTTTGACAGATCTATGGGTTATTCTTTATAACACCTCAATTCAGTGCTAGTTTTCTTCTCATCCTTCAGTTTCCTTCACATCCTCTCTTCAATATTCAAACATTTACTGATGAAAATATTAACTCTCCAAAAGACTTGGCCAGTTTTAACAAAAAGGGTTGTATGAATACATCAGACCTCTTGATTTTAAGATGTCCAGTCACAGTATCTCCTGCTCAGCATATTCCTTATTGACTACAGGGAAAATAATTAATTAATGTCACCATTGCATGATACCACTGTTTGATTGAAAACTGGAGATGAGACCAAACCCTAGCCCTTGCAGAGCTTTTATGAATAACCCCACCTTTAAAATCAACTCTTTCAACTCAAACCCTAAGGGAAATAACAGGATCAACTGAACAAGATCTGCTGACTTGGCAGCATTTACTATGCATTCACAATGAGATTTAATCTCCTCAGTTAACATTCTACAGCTAAAAAGTTTATAAATAAAACTATGAAGGAGTTCCCAATTATCAAAAAACATGTCAACCACTTATGATAACATAACTGCATTTTATTCTATCATAGTCTCCCTGATACCCTTTGAGCATTTTTTACTTCAGAAGCAAAATAATCAGCTTTCTAATTTCCCTGTTGTATTTAGGATATTTCTGAAACCTAAACCTGCATATCTAACTATTTGCTTGCATTTGCTTGACACTATACATGAGGGAGATAAGTATGTCTAAACTCAGCTGTGACAGCAAATAACCACTCAGCTCCTTGAAATTTCAGACAATTTGCCAGTCATTAGCAGGATTAGTAAGAATTCTGAAGGCTACCCAAAGACGTAGCTACCAAAAAGTGCATATCCATGAGTATAGCTTAAACTATAACATGCAGGACAAAAATAACCTGTGGAGCAGCATTAAGTGGCTTCAGTACATAATTCTTCACCCATCTCTTGCAAATGCACTAAAGCCTCTGTGACATTTAATGACCACATAGGTGAACTATTTGTTCTATGAGAACTTTTCCAGAGATAAACGTTCCACTAAAAAAACAAGGAATTTGTTTTAGTAACATATGTTAACTTCCATTAGTATGTCCTTATTCTGTGTACAATAAACCTCTGCTAATTTAATATTAGAATGATAAAATAGCAATAGTTATAAATAACTAACCCCCCCCCCCATAATCCCTTTGAATAATTGATAAAATCACCTTCAAACAATTCTCCCAGGGTTGTGTTTATAGGTTTTTATAGTTGACTTTGATTGGATCATTATTCAAAAGAACTCATTTATTCCCTGAATTGGACAGGCAGTTGAACTAGATGATCACTGAAGGTCCAACCGAACTATTCTATTCTATTCTATTCTATTCTATTCTATTCTATTCTATTCTATTCTATTCTATTCTATTCTATTCTATTCTATTCTATTCTATTCCTGTAATTTTGACATTTGTGTTCAGTTTTCAGTTATTACCTTTACCAATGAACAGGTTGCTGCAGAAATATCATAAACCAGCTTTGTATGGGTTTTTTTTGCAGTTACTACTAATTGTACAATAGGAAAACATAATGTTAAGATTATTTTCCATTTTATTGCAGGAACAAGACAGAAAAGAATGTTCATTTAACTATTAAAAAGGCATATTAAAAAGGCAGGCAAACTTTACCCTGTATTGTATCTGAAACAAAAATGTTCATGGCATTGTTTCCTTACAAGCTGCACATCTTAACATCTAAAACATCTACATTAGATGCCTACAGAAATTTTATCTATAAAAGGATGGTCTTCTGAACACAAGCAATAGGATTTCCTTCTAAATCATATATGCCCAATATTAAAGAAATATCAGAACAAAACCAAACAACAACTAATGAACAAACTTAAATCCTTTTTTTTTTTTATTTTCTGGATTATACAAAGAAGTTCATTAAATAGTGATGACAGTAATCTGAACCACATGGGATAACACAGACACATAAATTAAATACAGATGCTCATAAAATGCAATGAAAAAAGGAGGAAAGAAGTCTGAGAAACCAAATGAGTGAGCATCAAACAGCAAAAGAAAGCCTAATAGAGCTGACAGCTTTATTTGTCTCTTCAAGTGAGAGGAATAATGTAGTAGTTTCTGAGATCTGAGTTGCACTAAAGTATGTTAATACAAGTATCTGTTGAGGCTTGTTCAAAGGTCATCCATGAACTAGGCAAAGAAGATTAATTCTACTGGGAATACAGTAATGGGATGAAGAATGGGTGGCAGCACTGCTTTCTGACAAAGAATATCATAATCACATCTTACACAAGTTGTTGGGTAGTGTTTTGAACTTATACAAGTGTGATGCACACACTTTTATCCTCATTTACATAAGAACCAAGTAAAATACAACAGTGCATAAGAACCAAGTAAAATACAACAGCACTGTCTGTTTTGAGTTGGGAAAAGAAGCACAGAGAGTCAGTAATTGCTATTTTTTAATTTGAATGAAATGGTTGGAATAGCTACTGGAAAAAAAGTTCTGCTGAGTATCAGTTATATTTTCACTATGGTCTTTTACAGCATGCTGTCATTGAATTGCCATCATTGAATAGGACTTATGTGACTAAACTTCATCACAAGGACTGAATTTCCTTCAGAGACCCTTGCTGATCAAAATGCCTAAATTGCCCCTGCAAATCAATAAACCGTATGTGTAGCTTTTGGTGAGGTAAGAGGTTATGCCATTTTCAGAGTGATAGATGAGCAGAATGAAATAACAAAACAGTGAATGGGAAGGGTTAAGTGATTGGAGAAACAGGCTGGGACTATTCTTGCTACCAAGATATTTACCTAAAGCCACTACCACCCACCCCTGCTCAATTGGTCATTCTGGAATGAATTAATGATAGGCAAATGTGTAGACTCCATAAGAGAAAAAGAATTTGAGCTGCGATCTCCCTTCCTAAAAGAAGCTGTCTGATTGCCATATAACACTCACACCGGTTGAGAAGTTACTTACCAATTCTTATTTTGCCTACAATTTTCACATTTGTGAAAAGATGATAACTAGTCTAAGATTTCCCTTAGATTTCCACCAGTTACTGCATTAATTGTAATTTTATACATTTATTTCAGCTTGCACTGAATGCATGCAGAGCTGCTGTAAAGCATTAGAAAATGGAAATGTGGCAGCATTCTTCACAGTAATTGATGAGTTCTAAGTAAGATACGGTGAATACCAATGGGTAAGGCAACAGCAGTCTCACAGTTGCTAAAAAGGGAATTTAAAACCAAGTAATAGTTAAGCTAGAAATTGCCTTAAGAAGAATTTTGCCTAAATAATAATTTTTTAAAAAGCCCATAAAAACCCCCAAACCAAATTATGTTTTCTCAAAAAAAAAAAAAAAAAAAAAAAAGAGAGAAACTATTCTCAAAAGTGTTCTCCAAAGTCCTCTTAAAAGCCAGAAAGAAAACAAAGTACAGTTAGTTTTTCAGCCTGACACCTCTGTGGCATATGACTGGCCACTCTCCAGTCTTTGGGAGGTTATTTCTTGTAACACTGATGAATAAAAGTGTGACTAAGTACTGTATTTCACAGGATATGCAGTAAGGTGTCCATCTCCTCTTCCACTGCAGCTGTACACATTTTATCACTGCCTTTGAAGAACATAGTTAACATTTAAAATTGATGTCAACAGATAATTATTTTCATAATTCATTAACTAAGATCAAGAGGTGTAGATAAGCATGGTTAAAAAAAAAAAAAGCATATATTACACTTTGTTTAAAATTTATATAGATTCCTTACATTTGTGTTAAGCAAATGTGTCAAAAGACATTTTATCTCTCTTTGAGCTATCATGAAATTTAGTCTCTCAGTGCTCACCGAAGTTACAAGGAGTCTTTATCACGGGAAGTGTTACATGAATATAATTGGAGAAAGGAATTTAAACAATAATCTACACAAGTGGGAAGGGAAAATTTTGCTGGTATTTAAATTCATCTACTGCCCTGATCCCAGTTCTTCA